AGTTATCTCTCATGGATTGTCGTCCGTCATGATGGCATATACTCGTGGTATTTTAAGAGATGTAATAAACGTGGACTCTTGTATAAAACTCCTCTGTGATAACCGGGCCACGTTGTGCTTCACAGTACAGCACACAATGTTACTCAGCTCTCCTCAGAGTTACAGCGTCTCCTCAACCGTGAATGATGGTCTGTCTCGTGGAACAGCTGGACACACAATGACACCATGGGTAAAAGAAATAACCAGATGTGTATGTATTTCTTTATAGTTTACACGTCACAGAGGAGCACGGCGACGCCTCAAGCTCCACGGTGAATTCCCACAGCGCTCTCGCCTCTGCGGCATAAACAGAGCAAGCCGCATTCATCACCACCTGAGGCCTCGACTATTTCTATGCAATGGAAAGTTCACGCAGAGACCCAGGGTGAGTTTTCCTTTTACTGGGGTCAGTTGAATCTCTCTCTCTCTCGCCCTCTCTCGCCTAAGAGCGTCCTGACATGACGGTGAGCGGTGGGTGGGAATCGTGGGGCGAGTCAAGCCTTTGAGGCGTTTTGTGTGCAGCCTGTGTGTGTCTTTGCCTGAGTGTGTGTTCAGCATGTGTCATCTGGGCCGTCGTATCATGACTTGAGCTCAGGAATGCCAAACATTGCTGCTCCACATTGAATTTGGCCGCCACGGGTTGACTGGTGCTTTGGATGTGACATGATGTGAGCGTGTGGTTACTCACAACGCTGACGTTTGTTTGTTGCTGTCTCTGCTCATGAACATAAATCGAGGACCGGTGTGTGACTGACTGAAATACTTATTCTACTTATACTTGTTTTGTGTGTTGTACTTGGTTTTCACCATATTGTAATTCTGTGACATATTTCTAACTCAAACTTTTTTTCCCCTATCCCTAATATTCTATCATAGCTCTGTATTAAAGGACTAAAAGCTGATCTGTTCATATGAGGGAACATTTTTACACTTTAATGTAATATTATCTGAAAGACTTCTATTTTACTTATATCATATGCCTCATTATTTAACATAATAATTAGCTTAGCTGATTGTACTAATAAAACAGGAGACTGAGGCGGCACTAGCTCAGTCCATGGGAACTTTTGATCGCCAGATTCAAGTCCCAACATGGACCAAGTCCAGGGTATGGAGAAGTCGTGGAGACAGAAAAAAAGTGTCAAACTTTTTCAAACTGGCAACACAGTTCAGGAGCTATTGGGTAATTAGTTTCTTTTGATGATTCTGTCAGGGACATTACCATAAATAACTGCTGCTGTTACAATAAACGCACCACAGACTATGAATTGTTGCTCAACACTGAAACTCCTTTGCGAGATTTCTGGTACCCGAGTGTACTCGGTGGTTACTGAGGTGAGATGAGTAATGTGGGCCTTATTAGGACACAGTGTCATCATCTGAAGGCTCAGTCAGCAAATCAGGAAACACCTGTGCTGCTGAGGGGGGAGGGAGGGGGAGGCGGGGTGGGGTTACATGTCCCAGTGAAGGCAACCTATTGTGTTTTTGGAGCTTTTTATAAGTCACGTGGAAAAAGGGGACATTCTGGGCAGGAAGTGACATGACGCACGTACATACCATAGCTAATGCAGTCTGGCGCAAATAAAAAGGTCTTGTGACATGAGTTACATGCATGCAGCACAAACACAGACACATAACGATGGCTGCAGTATAAACTATTCTGTGAACAAATTATGTAAACATGCTGCAAACTGCAAATAGTACATTTAGCGGTTGGAGTGATCCCTCGCAATAAAAGACGGAGTGGTTCGTTCTAGATCCGCCATTTTAGATCAGTGTTCATTTATGAAACAGCAAGAAATCAATTATAGATGAAACAGAAAAATGGTTAGACCAGAAAACAGTACAAGACTTGAGTTTCTGTGTCTGTGAGTCATTGACAGTTAAAGGGGTTCTTGAAAAAACAAAAAGGAAATTGCGAAACTTTTTATTTGGAAATGGACAAAGCAGGTCAATTGAAAGCAGGCCCCAAACTACAACTAGACTGCAACATTTCACATATTAAAACTCTTGGAAAGCACTAATCATCACATATTACTGACATTACTCTAACTTTCTTGCGTCCATGCTTCTTTGTGAACATTCTCAAACTCATCCATCCTGCTGTTGTTTTTATTCCCTTGAGGAGTGAGAACCGTCCTTTCATGTTGTGTTGATGCGTAACAGTAGCGCAGGTGAAAACAACAGTCCGTGATGTTGTGAATTAGATGAAATAATTATGTAAGATCTCTTCAGCACATGATGTGGAATTGATAGATGTTGCATACGTTCCCACAGAATGTGGATATAATCCACAGTTAAATCAGGATCATTCTTACGTGTTACTAAACACGTGGTTAACACCTGAATCTATAAGGAGGATCACATGAGACTCACATGTTTAACTGTACTTTCTTGCCTTCAGGGCTGTATAATCATTATTTTCATCATTGATGAATCGACTCATTATTTTTCAATAATCGTACACAGAATGTCAGCAAAGAGGTTCCCAGAGCCCATAGTGATGTCAGTCCAAAAACCAGAAGATATTCAAAATAAATCAAACTTGACCTGTTGCACTTGTGACCCGATGACACCACCACACGGATGACACACTTTTCAAACACACCGCGTTTGACACGGTTACGGCCGAGACAACAGTCCTAATAGCCGACCAGCTGACTGCAGGACGCTGTGCAAGCAGGATTGTGGCTGGCTTTAAAAACCGCCTGTACTGCTTCCTAAATATATTAGCAATACTACAGAGCCGCTGATATACTGAGGCCATCCTGTTAGAGAGATGTGTATGTGCTCAAACCATTAATGTTAGAGCGGAGAAGGGGAGGAATGGGAGGAAAGAGAGATAGAATAAGAGGGCAGACATTTAGAAATAATCGACTGGAGTGAGAAACCATGAACGTCTTGTTTGTCTGGCTCATCTGGGTCTACTGTGGTTATTTACTGCTGACACTAACAAACCCCATAATTAAATGAGGGCTCAGAAATGGATGGTGGGCCTCCCCGCTCATCAGCCATGATGTCACAAACCCAGATTAGACTGGACCATATGACACGCTGCCTGCTGTCCCTCTTATCCTCAGTCACCATCCACTGCCAGGCATCTACTGTATCTGTCTATCTCTCTGTCTGTCTGTCTGTCTGTCGGGGATTTTTGTGTGTGTTTTCTTTTGTCTGGTCTCTTTCCATCTGTGTCTGTCACTGTGTATATCTCGCTGTCTATCCATTTGTCACAATTCTGCTCTGTTGTTCAGTGCCTCTCTCGCTCTGTTTTGCTCTTATCATTCCCACGCATTCATGCAGCACAAACAACGTGATGTAACACAGTATTTGTTGGACTCAGTTCACCAAACAGGCTTTCAGTGCCTTTTGTTTACACTATGTTTAGGCTTCATTTTAAGCACGGTTTGACCTTTGAACCTTGATCTTTCGTCACACTCGAAGTAGGAAACCCTACCAGTAAAACCAAAATAATATCAGTGCATATATGGGTCAGTGATTCACATGAACAGTAACAGTCAAATCATCTAATGAGCGAGGAGTCCCAGGAGCGACTGTAATGGCTGCTTCAGTAAGTTCAGTACGTATACCCAATCTCAATCAAACATGTCAATGTAGGCACTATCAACATTTTAGGGAATAAGCTTTGCTTTCTTGCTAAAATTTAGATGAGAATATTGATACCACTCTCTTGCTCTTTTGGGTGAATTCAAGATGCGGTTTCAGTTGGATTAAGAGCTAAAGTTACATATTTACAGTAAATCCTAACAGCACCCAAACACAGTCCCGCACTGCGTGTTAGGATTGACTGCACATCAGGTGAGAACGCGCAGTGTGACGTTTAAACCTGTTAATTCATTTGGGGGATTAGGCTTACATGCGGAGGGATAATGGGCCGGTTCACTGGGCTATACATGGGAAGAGGAAGTTAGAGGTTGCTTTTGTCAGCTACTTGTCGTCCAGCCAATGAGTTCTCCCTGAAAGTCCTCACAATACTGAGTACATGCAAGAATATTCATAAGCAGCCTTAACAAAAACATTTAGGGATTTACAGTACTCAGAGTGTGGTACTTACTATGTGAACAAAACATATTATATGGCATTTTTATTTGCTGTTATATCATTGTGAATGTTGTTCTTGAAAGACCTGCAGTTTATCATGGGGGCTGTGTATATTCGTGTGTTGGTGTACGGTGTGTATGCGTGTATGACGCACATTAATAAAAAATGTTATAGAGCTAAAACAATTAGTCTTTTTAATCGATTGATAGACGGATAACATTAGCCCCTACACGTAGGCATAATCAGCAACTATTTTAATAATTAATGAATTGTTTAACGCAAAACGTTCCCAAGTGTCCTGCTTCTTAATTGGGAAGGTTTTAAGCTTTCCTCTGTTTTGTCTCATTCAAAATTTGAATCGCATTTCACTATCTTCTGACATTTTCAGCACCAATAATCCGAGAGTCAGCAGATAAATCAATGTTAAAAATCAATGGGGTCCATTTCATGTGATCCCTATTATATCCGTGTAAGACTTCCTTCTGGATATGCTTTTGTGTGAGGCGCCTCTTCGTTATTCATCTAATAGCACAGTATCTCTATTACGTGTTGTTATTGTGCCTTCGATGTTTGATAGCGTTCAAAGAACATCCTTTTTTTAGTCCGGGGGATGTCCAGTATTGTCTGCTGCCTTATCAAAGCACTCTGGATTGTATGTTGGAAGCTGAAAATGAAAGGACTTGTGTGTAGCAGGCGCCTGCAGCGGACACACCGTGAGTAATAGTTGAATCAAACACACTGCAGTAGCAGGGTTATTATTTACCACGACCAGGGGTGGAGTCACAGCCCAGTCATAGATGTGGGCGGGCTTCTTGCCGCCATCACACCTCGCCGGTGTCCATATATGGTTCGTGGCGTCACGCGCCGGAGGTCCCGTTCACATAAAACCGATTGGCCGGGATCCCCTTGGAGGACATGTAGACACAAACGCGCACGGGACTCCTCGCTCGCCCGTATCCACCGTTTAGGAGTAATCCAGTTGAATTCTTGAAGCAATAACATCAACTCCTCGGCGACAAGATGAAAGTATCCAGCGTAGACTGCCGGCGTCTGAGGAAAATCATAAAGAAGGAGAGCGGGAGCTGCCTTATAGTGGATTGCAGACCTTATCTCTCATTCACGAACTCCAACATCAAAGGCTCTGTCAATGTCAATCTCAACTCAGTGGTGGTGCGGAGGTCCCGAGGAGGGCCGGTGCCTCTGCACTTTGTCATCCCGGATGAGAGATCCCTGCTTCGGCTGCGGGAGGGGAGCATATCGGCTATCGTAGCGCTGGATGACCGGACGTCCCACTGGCAAAAACTGAAGAAGGACAGCGTAGCACAAATAGTAATAAACACTCTCTCTCATCTCGCGAGCGGGGTGAACATCTGTTTCCTCAAAGGTGAGAGCTTCGTGAAATTAAACTGTTTAGTTGTTGTCTCAAGAACAGGAGGGATTATAATTGGAAGAAAGCCAGTACGGTGATTTACACCTTAAATATTTCACATTTTATTTTTTATTTTTATGAGAGGGCCTTTTAATCACACACACTTTGTGTCTGTTCTGCCCCACAAACGTAAAAGTAGTAGAAAGTAATATTTCATTAATTCAAAACGTCAGTGACGCATAAAGAAATGATTGTCCACTTTGTTTCTCAGAGCTATTTCATCGTCGGTCCATATTTTTAACTGTGTGTTTCTTACATTTTATTTGACTTCTCTTTATAATCAAGATACATTTAAGTCACGTTTCCCTCAATATCCTTCTCGCCTGTGTTGAGAGCTTCTTACAATCTTCTCTCACTTCTTGGAGAGACGAATGTCCGGCGTGCGTCAACGGAGCGGATGAGTCAGTGCGCGAGAAACGCAGGCAAATTGGTGTTGCAATGACTTTCATTGATAAAAGAAAGAAAACCCAACCTAACCTTTTCTGTTAGTTGAATAAAACCCCCTGGGTTGTGATAATGTTTTGAAACACCTCCATTTCCGTCTGTCACCTCTGTGTCCCCAGGATGTTAAAAGGATTACCGGTCTTTACACCGAAGGCTCCAGTAATTAATTAGGCGCTTAATCAGGTTATAAATATTATAATCCGCTGCTAAGACATGTTTCATAAACGCTGCTGTTTCACAAGACGTTTTAGGCCTCTGTGTGTGTATGTGTGTGTGTGTGTGTGTGTGTGTGTTTGTATTAGGGGGGGAAGCAGAATTATTGTAAACCTATTTATTACAGTGTGTGCTCACGGATATCCCCCCCCCCTCTCTCAGGAGGATACGAGAACTTCTACTCTCAATACCCTGAACTTTGCACTGAGGTGAAAACCATCGACCAGAGCGGAACTGAAACCGAGAAAAGAGTCAACAGCAACAGCGAGAAGCTTTCTCACCACAAACCAGATTACGATCAGGTACGGAAACACCCTTCACAATACACATCGGCCTACTTCCTATACTCTCCCACACATCCATGCACTGACAGTTTATTTTTTATCTTTAACCTTATCCAAAAATAAAGAATGAAATATAAATCCGCACATCCAAGTCCTGCTGACATCAGAGACTTATATTTGGCATCAGCCCATCAAAACATTTTCTCATCATACATATGATATTCTGTGACCTTCACTGCTCCCCAGACATCTCATATTTGAGACCATGATGCCCAGCTGACACCCCGTAGAGAAAAACACGCTTTCATCTCTGACCTTTCTTCTGTCTCCTCCACTGCCCAAACAGAAAGCATGTGGCTGCTTCACATCTCAGAGAACACTATTGTGTCTCGTTGACATATTGTGGGTTATTCAACATTAATGGTTAATGGTTTACATAATAGGGGACATCCATCCATCGTGCAGCTCCATGTGTCCTGCTTGCGTTTAGTCTGCAGCTGAACGTAATGTTCTGCTCTGCAGCTTATTGAGCCGACAGGTGTTTGGATGTTGTGGCTCCGACGCTTTTTCTCAGGGGTGGATTATGGGTGGATTAAAGCACATGCATTGAGTTCTTGGGTCCAGTATTATGTCTTGTTGGCTGTGAAATCACACTGTGTTTTCTGTATATTCTAATCCTTATCGGAATGAACTGACGTCTCGTTCTCCCTCCCTCTCCCTCTCAGGGTAAACCTGTGGAGATCCTGCCTTTCCTCTACCTCGGTAGTGCCTATCACGCCTCCAGACAGGACTATCTAAGCGACCTTCACATCACAGCCTTGCTCAATGTGTCGCGCAGGGACCTGCAGCCGGCCAAGGGCCACTACGACTACAAGTGGATCCCGGTGGAGGACAGCCACATGGCCGACATCAGCTCCCATTTCCAGGAGGCCATAGATTTTATTGGTGAGTTGGAGGAAATTAAACAATTTTTCCATCAAGAGGGTTCGCACTCCTGGGTTTGCGTCTGAATCTGAATGCGAGAAAAAAGTCACCACCTTCTCCTGCAACATCAAGTTCTGTATATTTACAGTGCAACGTCACCCTAAGTAGTCTCCTCAAACAAAGCCCCTTTGTCTAAGCCTCTCACCTGCCACCATTCACAAATAGAGGGCTATAAACTGTAATCAGTTTAGCTTGATCGCCTTCCTTCAATCCTCCACCAGCATATCCAGCCAGCCTGCTTTCATTCAGGATTTGCTCTCACCCCCCCGGGCCCCTTCATCCCTCTCTCCCTTCCTCCCCCATCTTTACTTGAAAAAGACACTCCCATGCCGTCATCGCCTCCCAGGCCTAATCTCGGTGGCTTACTCTGCCGGGTGTGGCCAGTCAGTGTGACAACTGGGTGAGCTGTCCGAGTTTAGTAATGGCCGGGTGGAGGAGGTTGGGGGCTGACTGACACACACACACACACACATACACACACACAGAGTTGTTTATGATGGTTGGGTGGAGGATAAAAGCCAGCTGACTGACACATAATGAGAGAGCATATATTGGTGGTTGCTCGCAGTTGGGAATCCTTGACGGAACCGAGGGCAGCGGGTCAATGAATGTGTCACTGAGGAAGAGAGAGTGTGTGAGAGAGGAGAGAGGTGCCGGATAATAACAGCAGCAGCAAAAGATGTACATGGTGTGCTATTGGCTATTTATAGCCAGGCACAACCAAGGCCGAAAATCACCCACGAGCAGCTTGGCCGGCCAGCAGCGCTATTGTTGGTATTGTGCATTGTTTGGGGATGCAGCCCTAAAATTAGGGTGTCTATTATTACATAAGGCCGATAATGGTTCCAGGGGCAGGTTTAGCCCACATTCAGAGAGGGCCACTAAACTGTTTCAACCATGCAAAGCGATTAGAAATGCATAATAATCACCAAACTGCAGCTGCCCCCCCCCCCCCCCCAAACCAAAATCAATCACCAATCGGAGACCCTTTCGACGTGGTTACTGATGCACAGTCAGGGAGGAGACGATAAATATTATTGATCCACTGCTGCCGTCACTCCTTCTTTTGACCCGACCACACTCCACTCCAGATGGGAAGTTCATCCATCATTCATGCGGTTTATAAAGAGGCTGCCAGAAGTCATCGTTGTTCCGCTTACAGTGGCTCTCAGGACCAGACAGAAGTGTTTCTATTGTTATAAATGTTTCTATTTAGTGCGTAAAGAGACAGCGAGAGAGAGAGAGACATATGTGTCTGCAGTGGCTTCTAAGTGGAACCGAGTGTCTGTCTAAGATTGAATTTGCACAGGAGACAGACAGAAAAGGAGACGTGTAGGTGTTCGCAGTAGTTCTAGGAATTAGCAAAATCTCAAAATGTGTCGCGAGTGACACTTGTACAGATGACAGAAAGTAGATATCCGTGTGGGCATTAGAGCATAGGCGTGTAGGAGTGCTGCAGCTCCAAATTAGAACGCGCGTGCGTCTCTGTGCCACAGCGACCTCTGCAGCAACACCCAGCGCCCCCACAGCACTGTAGCAGAAAGAAAAGTCTCATGTACAGCTGCACTCTGTGACTCAGACAAGCCTCACAAGTGTCTGTGCGTGTCCAACTGAAACTGGTAGAGAGATGTGCGCACATTTCTGTGTCACTACAAATGAGGCGCACTGACAGGGTTCAGTGTGTGTGTGTGAGTGAGAAAGACACTACGGAGCCTTTGCATTAATTAGTGAGTGGGAGTGAGGAGTAGACAATGATTACACTGTTAAAATGTGATTTTTTTTTTTTCCCCATTTGTTATTATTCACTGTTTCAAACTCCCTGTTGATTCATTGCAACCTCTCCACCAACATAACTTGACTTTTAAAATATCAATTACAGACACACAAACAAAACGAGGAATAAAACATGACACACCACCATGGCCTTTATTTTGAAATGAGCATTTCTTTAAAAAATAAAATAATGCAAGCTTTGATTCACATCATTTTGTGGATGATCACAGAAAGAAGGTCAAACGGTGCCACCATCTCAGCACAGATCATTAACCTTGGTTTCTTCTTCTTCTTCTTCTCCTTCCAGATCACGTGAAGCAATCAGGGGGAAAGGTTCTGGTCCACTGCGAAGCAGGCATCTCCCGCTCACCCACCATCTGCATGGCATACATCATGAGGACGCAGCAGCTGCGGCTGGATGCGGCCTTCGACATCATCAAGCAGCGCCGGGCGGTCATCTCACCCAACTTCAGTTTCATGGGTCAGCTGCTGCAGTTTGAGTCAGAGGTCCTCTCCATGGCCCCGGCTCATGCCGCCACGCCCGAACCTGCCACACCCTGCGCCCAGGAGTCCGCCTTCTTTTTTGCCAACGACTTCAACACCAAAAACTTTGAGCCATCCGTGTTCACCCTCCCTACCTCTTGCCTGCAGGCCCCGGTCCACCACCAGTTAAAACTGAGCCCAATAACTGCACTGCCTTAAAATGAACCGTGACTGCTTGTAGTCTTACTTGAATAAAAAAGTAATGGTCTCTGTGTGCCTGGTGTTGAAACCAGCCGAGCAGATGGACAGAAACAGAAGAGTCAAGATAATAGTGTTCACTTCATGAGACTTGAAAACTATGGGGTATAGACATTGATGTTGTTCTCCTGTCTTCTGAACTGCTTTGATGAAACGACACGTTACAGTGATGAACTGCAATATACATGCCTTAGGTTGATATTGTGATTCATATTCACAAATACAGTCAGGCATTTAAACCTAATTTATTTGAAAATTAGTCTGTCTGTCTGAATTTTTTCAATAATGTGGATGTTAATATGTGTTTAATAAATGTTTTCACCACAAAATTAACTCTTGTTGTCACGTCATCATTCTAGCATTATGTTTGAAGAGTTATAGGCTAACTGGGAAGTCAAACAGTGACACCTGCAGTGACAGAGACTGGCATATGACTAGCTTCTTCATCGTCAAGTGTAACCCAGTGCAATCTAAACAAACTATTAATGGAAACAAATGAAAACCAGCCACAGGTGAAGAATTTCAGTCAAAAAATTGCTTTTTGAAACAGTGACGTTCAAGAATAAAACGTGTAGATGTGAGGAGTATCAGTAAACAGCAGTCTTTGTCGATTAACAAGATAGTTTTCCCATCGTTTTCTACCACATTCCCGCTTCTGCTAGGCTACTCAGCGCTATCGACTCTTTTCTGTCTTTGGCGCCTAGAAGACAGGCAACTAGACTGTACCAGCTATACAAATGGGGAGGGAAGTACATAGCAAATGTGCCTAACATGTTATTTACATACAAACACATAAGACCAACGGTTGAAGACACAATACTGTTCAGTAAATTAGTTTTCCATTCTAATTGTGTATGGTTAAGTTATCTACCACACATCATTTCGCATCATGGTTATTGCTGCAATCCTGTTTTCACATAATGGTATGGTCCATTATATCCCGCCCCCGCCGCCATTTTCCATGTTATTCTCTTATCCCACAGTGTTTCACCAATTTTTAATGCTTCGATTTATATTATTTTGTTCAGTTTTGGGTTATTAAATTCCTGGCTTCTTATAGTGGAGGAGGGAGCTTATCTCCAAATTTATCCGAGGAGACGCCTTGTTTAGACCGCCATGTACATCAAACAGGTAAGCTAACGGCCCCCAGACTTGTGTGTGTAGCCGACTCTTCACGCTATTTCACTGAATGGTTGTGCCCGGGCTACTCCGGTTTGTACACATTTAACGTCAATTAGAGTGCAGAGCTATGCTAAATCACACCAACGTGAGCTATAAGTTAAATAGTGTATTTGCTAATGCTAGTTAAGGCTACCTAGCTGGATTCATCTTGAGTTGAATTGCCCGTCCCCCTACTCGGAATGCTAAGCTAATGCTGCAAGGCTAACGTTAGGTTAGCGGATTTATCGCTTTTCTATTCATGTTGCACGATATCATATTCCAGTCGATTTTATCATATGTAAACATGAGCTGTGATAGTATTGTAGTGTGTCTAACGTAGTGTTTATTTTGTTCGCAAACTCGTTGCCGTCCTTGAATGAACACTGCCCCAAACCGTAGCGGCCAGTCAAGGCCCCGTAAATGACACATTTGATGCTGCGCTGAGCAAACACGTTTTCAATGTTGAGTCTAATTTATGTGCGACGGGGCAAAGTAGCAATGTTGCTGCATTCAGAAATAGTTGCTGGCTTGCTTCTTAAGTCACTTTACTTAACTTCATGTTAAGTTTATCCTTTCCTAAAGAGAAGGATGTGATGCTCACGGTGGTGTCCGGGTTCTTGTGCAGGTCATCATCCAGGGGTTCCGAAGTTACAGGGACCAGACTGTGGTGGACCCGTTCAGTCCAAAGCACAATGTCATCGGTGAGTGCGCGCTCATCCCGAAGTGTCACTCATGTTTTTTGTCTTATCTCGTACTTTTCGCTATGTTGGTGTAAGGGGATGTACTTTGAAGGAAGGCACCTTACTAACATAACTTTCCAGACCAAGCTTGGTGTGTCACAGACTCACTTTGGTGGGCTGTCTACTTCTATCACCGTGTTGTCATTGTGTCATTTTTTTTTTTGTCTGTTAGTTGGAAGAAATGGCTCAGGAAAAAGTAACTTTTTCTATGGTACGTCTCCCTCAATAAATTTTTACCATACAGTGTCTGTGTAATGTTGGTTATTTTTGTTGTCTAAAGCCGTTTCTCCGCTCTGCTTCTTTAGCCATCCAGTTTGTGCTCAGTGATGAGTTCAGCCACCTGCGACCTGAACAGCGCCTGGCGCTGCTCCATGTGAGTTCAGACAAATGTCCCACTGCAGATCATTGGTACCGTTTGAAAACGGTCATGTGACACATTGAGTGGTTGTGTAGAAATGTCTTGTTAGACATGTTTATGCTGACAGACGCTTGTGTAGCTTCCTAATAACTGGTGGATCACAAAAGTCTTCATAGGATTACTGCAATTGCGTTTCTGTTAATACATGAAGTTTTGTAAGAGATTGAAACATTCAAGGAAATTATTAAATGGTATTAAATAATACGTTGTGGTTTTTCCTACCCTGTCATTGTAGGAGGGAACTGGTCCTCGTGTCATTTCGGCTTTTGTGGAGATTATATTTGACAACTCTGACAACCGGCTGCCGGTAGGAATGGCAAATGTTTCATATTGATCCTATTACAATGTCATTGTAGACAAACTGATTCATTCTTTCCAACTTGATTTGTACCAAGACTCTTAACAATGTGCATCAAAAGTACCAGATACTGGCATCACCTTTTTAAAATAACTCTCAACAACATCCTTAGTCCAGGCTTCCAGCGGAAATGGTACATTATCACTATATTATGTTGCTCATGTTGTACTGTCTTCCTACATTGCTGATTGTAGTCACACTGCCTTCAGTACACACAGTGCTTATTATTCTGATGATGAAGGCCGGATGTTTGCACCACTCTAGAAATCCAAACATTTGATAACACTGATAATACTGTGACATAACCAGCCAATTCTGCTGCTGTGTATTGTTCTCCTCTTCACCGCTGATAACTGTCTCTCCCTCCAGATCGACAAAGAGGAAGTCTCCCTTCGCCGCGTCATTGGCGCAAAGAAGGACCAGTACTTCTTAGATAAGAAGATGGTGACGTAAGTATTGTCTGTGGATTGACCGTTCATTTAATCACAGGAAATGACAACTCTGTGAATCCATGTAATCACTTGTTTTGATGGTGACGGTGATTGTTGCAGTAAGAATGACGTCATGAACCTTCTGGAGAGTGCTGGCTTCTCCCGCAGCAACCCGTACTACATCGTGAAGCAGGGAAAGGTGAGAAAGGAGTGGGTGCCAACCTCACGCTCGTTAAAGACATACTAGTTCATTTCACAGTGTCGTGTAATGCGTCGCAGTATTCAAACAGAGCTATAAAGAGAGTGCCAGCTGTACTTAGCTGGATGTCTTGGCCTGATTTAAGGATTAGTGTTAAATAAGAAATCGTCATCTGCTAAAATATATTAAAATTTTCATAATTTGTCAGGCAGGAAAATCTTAGCGCTGCTTTGAACAGCAGTGTGTTTGGTGTCGGTCGATATTGAAATTATCTTGCCGACAGTATTGCTTTAGGAAAAATAACGATATATTTTTAAATAAAAGTGGAAAATGGTTTACTCTTAATTATCAGGGTGGTCAAGCAGCAATCCAGCACCATTAATTCCATTTATAGAACCACAATTTCACAAAATCAGACGTATGCTTGCATGTTACTTTCTTTGATTTGATTGAATATAGCGCAACACTAATAACAGGCGTCGCATAATTGAATATTGTTTTTTCAACGCGGAGAATTTGTGGCCATCAAATCATATCGTCCAAGACTAAATGCGTTTCATCTCACGCGCTATAATTTCAATGTTCATGCAGATCAACCAAATGGCCACAGCACCCGACTCCCAGCGTCTGAAGCTGCTGAGAGAGGTGGCAGGAACACGGGTGTATGATGAGCGCAAAGAGGAGAGTATTTCGCTGATGAAGGAGACGGGTAAGTCATTATTCACCATTACATCATACTTATTGAAGCAATTCCAGTCCTAGGAAGTTGAGTGTGCAGTTACTCATGATTTACACATTTAAAAAACAATAACAGAGGGGAAGCGAGAGAAGATCAACGAGCTGTTGAAGTACATCGAGGAGCGTCTTCACACCCTGGAGGATGAGAAAGAGGAGCTGGCTCAGTACCAGAAGTGGGACAAGATGAGAAGAGCCCTGGAGTACACCATCTACAACCAGGAGCTGAATGAAACCCGCGCCAAACTGGATGAGGTAACATACCGAAGAAAAACTAATGATATACTGTGTGTACACCGAGTAAAAGGCTGAACATGATTGACTTTATGATTAACATCTGTTTTGGTACCTGGGTGGGAAATTATCACTGCCCTTATTATTATGTAACATGTATATAATAATAATAATAATAATAATAATAATAACAGGCAGCTAATATTAATATTCTGTATTATCTTGTGTGAGACTTTTTGGCTGTTTTTTTTTCTAGCTGTCCAGCAAGAGAGAGACCTGTGGAGACAAATCCAGGCAGCTGCGCGATGCTCAGCAAGATGCGCGAGACAAAGTAGAGGTAAAGACTTCCACCTCGCAACAGAAGTGTTAATATCTGGGACAAAGGATTGGTGAAAATATACATTGTAATTATCATCACAGCATTATCTCTAAAAAATAACTCACACTATTTAGTTCATTGTTCAAAATCACCCGGTCAAATTTCAGGTGTTCAGTGTTCAAATCAAATAGTTGAAAAGTGATGTATTCATTTAAATCACCGAAGGGGAAGTAAGTCGTTGCATTTACGCTCCTTGTGAATTAAATCTCACAGCCGGTGTCTTTTATTTTTGGCTCGCCTTCTGTAGGAGACGGAGCGCGTTGTGCGAGAGCTGAAGTCCAAGATCTCCGCCATGAAGGAGGAGAAAGAGCAGCTGTCGGCCGAGCGCCAGGAGCAGATCAAGCAGAGGACCAAGCTCGAGCTGAAGACCAAGGACCTGCAGGACGAGCTGGCAGGCAACAGCGAACAGAGGGTACGGAAGCCTCCCGTCTGCGTCACTCTGCACACGTGATGCTGCACCAGCAACATCCCCCTCCCCCTGCACCATCCTTGTGTGTAGAGAAGGATGCTCGTCTGGTTCTCTTTTCACCCGCTCTACCCACCCGAGAGTAAAGCCTCACAGTTTGTGAAAACCCAAACCAGCATTTGTTTAGTAAAAAAGCAGTTTGGGCCTTACGATACAGTTCACATATTAGCGCTGAATCTTTCAGAATAACTTTTTGCTGATCCAATAGTTAGATGAATTGAGAGCCGAAACAGAGGAGGCACCAGCCTGTACATCAGACTCTTTCCCCTCAGCTCCACTTTACATAATTCCTGGCAGGAGGTTGTGTGTACAGATCTGGCATGAATCGCTCTCCGTATGGCCGCGTGTTCTGTTTGTGTGCACGTGTGAGTACGAGGATGATAATCATACATAGCGGCTTTATTGGCTCAGTGTGTGTGTGTGTGTGTGTGTGTGTGTGCGTGTGTGTGTGTGTGTCCGTCCTGTGATGGGCCCCAGGCAGCATGC